AGTTGGTCCAATCCTATTCTTGCCATGTAATTTTGAAGTGCAAGGGGAAGCCATGAAGTAGTTCAAAGAGTGTTAGAATTGCGTGCTGGCATGTTTTGGCTGTTCCATTGATGACTAGCTCTGCTCATTTCCTTAACACATACAGTGACCCATCATCAGCTGATAGCAATACAGATGTATTATATTTTCATGCAGTCAACCCCTGGTTATACACACCATTCTGTGGTCCTTATTTTGATACAATTTCACTGATGAAGTAACCAGTTTTATTCAATACATGCAAAGCAAGAATTCTACAGCTTTTTCCCAGTCAAAGTGCTACACTACTTCACGCAGAGAAGTGAAAACCTTTCTCTCCTTAAAAGAGCATCTGATCTTCGTTATAATCAAGAAATTATCTCTTTGAACAAGTTTCTGAATTTTTATAAGTTTGAAATTGTCTATACCTCTCTGTTGGATCACCATGGCGGCGGCATTTGTGTAACTAAGGGTCGACTGTTTACTAAACATCAATGCCTTTGCTACTCCAAAGTTACCGATTATAAAAACAGGCTAAAATTATCCATATCATCCAGGTTACTCAAACTCTATTGGTAAAAATGACAAACAGTTTCTTACAAAAACCTGTTGCTTATCTGTGAGCCAAAAGTTGACTGTAAGGTAGTGGAGGGAAGCTGTTCTTTGTTATTACAGTCATCCATTTTTTGTTTTTGGCATCTGAAGGGTAAAAGGTACAATTATGGTTTAAGACTTAAGGGGCTGACAGACAGTATTTAGTGAATTTTAGTTTCAAAGATAGTATGTGCACCAAGTATCAGAAAACTTCTGATGAGTGGTGACAGTGTGTTCAAAAGTGAGGACATAGACATAGTTTCTAAATCATATACAGAAAGGTTTGTGATGACGGCCTGTTAGAATGGAATTCTTTATGGCTTGCGCGTAGGCCCTCGTAATTTTCGTTGCTGAACGCGCGTTTTTTCGCCCGCGGAAAACTCGAGACGAGTCGGGAGTCTGGCGCTAGTTATCAGTGTAAGACCGCTTGCAGATCTCTCGCCGGCTCGCGTTTATCAAGGCTTCCTACTTTCACGCAGGCGAAAAACACCCGTGCTGAAGCGGTAATGACGAGGGCCTACTCTTCGGCTAACTTCTTGAATATTGTCTTTGCTGTTGAGTATGAATTGAGTTCAGGTAAGTACGTCCTGTCGAAGGAGACTCTTCATTGTGCGGTGAGCATCACTAACATTTGCACCTTTGTTTTGGTTCTGTTGCAGCTGCTTACAAGCACGCGGATGGAAAGAAGATCGACGGTAGGAGGATCGTGGTAGATGTGGAGAGAGGTCGCACAGTCAAAACATGGAAACCAAGAAGGCTTGGTAAGTCACCACTTCCAGTCTTGTATGCATCAGTATGAATATTCTCCACATTATTCCGTATACTTGTTCTACTGTATTGACTAGGAGAACATGGTTAACAATCCAAGTTTTCCCTAGGTGGCGATCATTTCTTTTATTCTCATAACCTAGATGGTTGGTTCCGCGAAGGTGTTGTAAGGAGAAGTTAGGGCAAGTCATTTTCAGAAGTTAAAGGGTTAGACGGCTGCAAGCTAAGCTGCCTTTACTATGATTTTAACCAGGCTCCAGTGTCGTTTATCAGCAGCTGCCTTTCCTTTGATCCCAATGGACAAGCTCAAATAATGACTTTGTCTGCTTGTTTATTTATCAGTAATACAATTATAGCCTATGACGAAACTTTGTTTTCATTTGTTATAAAGACATCCGTGTTTCGGTTGATATTGAGATAGCAGCAGATTAGGTTAATAAGACCCTTTGTTGACTAGTATCTGTTAGGAAAGTATAGACCTGGGAGACTTAGTCTTGACGTTAGTTCCAAAGTCTCAGCTTTGTGCTTTTCTTAACTTTTGAAATAACCGTCACATCATACACCTTTTTTAAAGAGGTTCCTGCTCATCATTGGCCGTGCTCTTATCCCAGTTCGGGCACAGAACTTGAAAAACTTCTTGTTCAGCAGCTATTAAAATGAATTATTACCCTGGCTTAATCGGGCTCCATTTCCGCAGTTTCCTCGGGTCCGATCTCCGAGGAGCGCGGTTACATTACTGAACAACGGCTACTAATCGAGCCCAGGCCTATCTCTGAGTGCTCAGTTTTCAGCGCCATGATCTTTGTCAATTGCAATATTTGCATTCACCTTTTAAGTGAGATAACTCTGATACTGAAAGGCATCTTTTCGTCCGTAGGTGGAGGACTTGGAGGAACCCGTATCGGTGGGCCAGACGAGAATGTAAAGCACTCCGGACGTGTGGAGAATACAGAAAGATACGAGTAATGAATTTTACATATTGGCACAAATCAGATACTTCTACCGCGAGCCTTTTCCCTTGAATTTGTAAACGTATTCTTTTGCCTTATTGGAGTTCATATTCGGCACAGTTGCCACAATAGGTGAAAATCATAAAGATGCATATGTGGTAAAGTAATATTGACTGAAGAAAGATTTTCTGCAGTCACAAGCACCGCATTGAAATAGTAGCAAACAACCCTCACATCTTTCCTTTCTTGCAGTCATCTTTTACGAATATTGTAACAGTGACATAATGGCCAGCTCACAGTGTTGGCTTAAACTGTGATGATCTTTCTTTAGTTCAAAGAGTTCTGATAATGTCATTAGGTGAAAAAACGATGAGAACTTGTAAGCAACGTGCACTGTTCCATTTATTTGACTCGACTCATTTACTTTGCAGGGACCGTGAACGCGGCGAAAGGGACAGAGGAGGAGAACGCGAGAGGGAACGAGAGCGCGAGCGCTATAGGGACCGTGAGCGTGACAAAGATCGTGAGCGTTACAGGGACCGTGACCGAGATCGCGAAAGAGACCGTGATCGTGATCGTGACCGCGAAAAGGAACGTCGAAAGCACCGAAGTAGGTCACGTGAGAAAGAGCGTGATAAAGATCGTGATCGTGATCGAGACCGGTAAGCGAGAACCTTTCATTTTGTACTTCGATGGGTAAATATTCTTGTTTCCCTCACCTTTTCTGTTTATAACGCTGGTTTTAAACTATGTAACGCTCTTTTATCGTAGGGACAGGGAAAGGCGGCGTGATCGTGACCGTGATAGAGACCGTGATCGCGATCGTGATAGGGAAAGGGAGCGCGATAAAGACCGTGACCGTGATCGTGACGGAGAGCGAATCAAGGAAGAACCGAATGGTGAATACCCACAGTATGACAACGACAGCCAGATCGACAACAACAACTTGGATATGGTAGATTAACACGGGTAATTTTTCATTTTACTGCTCATAAAATTTGAACCCTTAGCCTCTCTGTAACTTGGATTCTAATAAACTATAATGTTAAATGATTTCCTAACATTCGGCTCCTCGAGGTAAGAAAATATACTCGGTTTTAAATTTTGTTGGTCGGTTTTAACTATGAAGTGGATTGCGACGTGAATTCCTGTTCTCTTAATAAATTTTTTCTCAAAATATGTTTTTTGCTTTCAGGTGAAGTTGTAAAAGTCCATCATCACCTCTTCACTGACTGACTTAAAGGGAGGCGTGATAAAAAGCTGAAATGAAGAAAACTGATTCGTTGTGTATTGTAGAAATCGTTTTAGGTTTAATTCAATCCATCTCCAGGAGTATTTCGTCACTTTCCTAGTTTCTGAGTATGCCTTGGCTGGTCATACAACTGTCACTCTTAACCCTTTACACCCTAACATCAGTATGCATAATCTCTAAACATTTCCTAAGATGCTGACATGGAGAATTTGTCCAACAGTCAAGAGCTTCTTTAGTCGGTGGTTGACTCCTTTATTCTCCTGACCTTAATGTTTGATTCAGTGCTAATATGTTGAGGAGAAATTAGATGTCAGTCACTCTTAGGGGTTAAAGCCGTTGATGAGATAACTTGTTGCGCCAACAACAAAATGAACTTTGTAGGATAGTTGTAGCATTTTTAACTTGTAGCTGTACTTTCGCAAATTTTTGGGAGGCGGCTAGTGTAACGCAATTAACGTAATCTTCGTACATTCTGGGCCAATACTCTGTAATGCTCAGCTGCTTCAGACTTGACGCATCGGATGGAATGACAGACTTGCCGAAATCAATGAAGTAGGACTTTAAAGATGAGATGATTTTCAGCATTCTTATGCGCGGTTATAATTACCTTATTTAATTGTACATTTATTGTAATTTCCTCGGCATTTGTTATAAGTTTTATGTTAATTCAATATGATTATAACCCTTTATCAAGCAACTTTTAAACAAAACCTCTGGAATGGACTTGCCGAGTTTAAATTAAAAAAATGAGACAAGTGACAAAGAACCGTGTTTTGCTTTGTGTAAGGAAAAGCGAGTTATGAACGAAAAGCGGAAGTGTTTGTCACTTAACGGACTTCTTCTGAAACAGATATAGGACCTTCTTCAGATCTCGAGCCATCTACCTTCCCAGCCCGACTGAGCGCAGACTAGAACCGTATCATGCAATGTACCTTGCGACGATGTACCTCACGACACTTGAGATAACACTCTCACAAATGAGTCGGACAATTTGATAGCCTAGCCTTACTCGTCGTGTCAGCAACTCAAAAATCTGAGTACTCGCTTTTGCAGTAATTCCTGGGAAGTAGAACTTGTATGAAATATCAAATGAAACTTTCAACGCTGTTATAACATCATGGAGATGATAAAAATACTGCAAAAGTAAGGGGGAGCTAGAGGGTAGGGCGACCCTGCCTACTCGTTCCTAAGGTACATATGTGATCCATGCAAACTCGACTCTGAACAAAAGAAGGCTCTGTTTGTATTTTTTTTTTCTTTCACATGACACAGACTTAAACATTCATCTCACTAATTGATACTTCTATGACTTCCTGATCACTTTACGCTTGAAAATGGATATTATTCCGGGAAGATACTGCACTAGTACCCAGATCTTCCTCCTTCTATTGGAAAAATGCCAGGCTCCTAAGGCACCCGAATACAGTCACCGGTGAGTCATTCAAATGACGTAAGTTATTCCAGCTGGACGTTTGCCCTTATTACTGTGTTTATAATTCAAAATATTTGCCATATTCTCTTAGGATGACGGATAGAAATTTTCCAAGCGAACTATTAAAACTCAAGGGAAGACAGCCGCTACCACAGAACCATCAAAATCACATCAACAATATGACTGACACAAGTCCTCGATCATTCAAAAGTAAGTGGCATTCTCGAAGTTTCGTATATGAGAAAAAGCTTCTTTGTTCAGCTGTCCTGGTTGGATTTAATCTTCAATCTGGCGTTGGTCTTGTCAGCAAAAAAAAAAAGAAACTGTCCTAGTTATGGATTGAAAATATGGGCTCTTCGCCCTGGTCTCAATTACTTGCTCTCTGTGTTTCCGGTGTGAGCGTGACGGAAACAGTTCTTCGCAAAAGCCTTCTTTTAGTTTTTTCTTCCATCTTGTGTTCGACATATCTGATGAGCCTACTGTAAAATCTGCAGTAATTCTAGTTGCTCTAAAAACATGGTAGCGTGGGCAGCTTAAACAAGTCAGTCTCGTATTCAGACTAAAACCATTTTCCATTGAGCCTCGAAAGTAATACACGATACCTTTTAGTTGTGTTTCACTTCTCTATTTGATTGGTTCGGACGTCCAAATAACTTGTGTTTCCCTTTCAAGTAGACGGATGCAAAACTGAACAGATGGTGTCTTTGTCACTTGGCTCTTCCATTTTCTAGTTTTTACTTTGACTACTCAATGGTTGCTTCTAATATTTTCCTATATTGTGATTAATTAATTATTAAATTGTTTTTGGTTTAACGACACTTTATCAAAAAGTGCATGAGTTCTCTATTTAACTTGGATCATACACTAACATGTAAATGTTCTTTTCCTCTGATGCAGAGGAAACATCGCAAAAGTCGGAAAACAATACAGGACCCTTCATTGTATTAGGCCTGATATTTTTAACATCCTTAGTGGCACTAGCCTTTGTTTACTGGAGTTTTCCCAAGCTGAGACCGTAAGTCCTATTTCTATTCATCTGTCTTTTTCTTTTTGGGTAGAGCTTTTTTCATTGCTAAAAATTAGTATTGCAAATCATTATCCAACTATGCTACACTTCACTAGCTGGTTTGCTTTTCCTGCTTTATAAGAAATGGGCATAAAATAAAGCAGATGGATAATAAATTACTTATTAAACATTTTGGTGTGTAGTATTGCTAAGTATTTTAACTCGTTGTTTGTATTTTGACATTTCCAACAGGCTCATTGAAATATGGCACAACTCATAAAAATATTCAGTGATAACACACACAAAAACATATCTTAAAATATATGTATTATAAAAATTTTAACTTAGGATTAAGAGTCTGATGTATATGGGCTTTTTGAAATCTTTCAAATGGTATGATTACTAATTTTTCTTATAACATAGCACGTGTTCTTGCCCTATATAAGTCCTATTGAGCCACCATGAACAAAATCTTTATTTACACACACCTGTGTGTAAATAAGATGACGTGAGCATTTTTTTTTGTGACCGTTGAGTTCATTTGGCTTTGATTTTTTCCTTTTCCCTCGTAAATTTTGAGCTTTTCATCCACAGTTATCGGTTTACTAGAACAGATGTTCTTGCTCAAACCAAAGTATAAAATGTGGCATGTTTTTGACTAGCCAATAGGGATGTTTGTTTACTTTTTTTTGTGCTTTGTGAAAATTTTGCACTCTATCACAATAAAAGGCTTCTTTGCACAGATCCTTGTTGTTGCTCTGTTATAAAAGAATTTGCTCGTGCTTTTAGCTGTGCGTATATCAAGTTATGGATGCACTTGGGAAGTTTGGAGAGCACTCAAAAAGCTAGAGTTGCTCTCAGCTGCGCCTCAAGCTAGTCTTATGCATTATTTGTGCACTCCAAACTTCCTGCGTGCATCCTTAACTCGATATACTCATGCTAAGCATTAACAAATTCTTAATTTTCCAAGGATGTGTAATTGAGAGCAAAATATAATTGATTTTACTTATTCAGGAGGATTTGTGCTATACATGCAATGCTTTCTCCTTTTTATATTGCTTTGTGACACATAAATTGATCAAATCATATAAAGATTTCATTGAACCCTCAAACTCCTCAGATCCAATTAGAAATTCTCCCCACTGACTGCCATTCATTTAACTTTTAAAGAAGACAAGAGAATTTGGTGTTTTATCAAGTTGACTCCATCAAGCTGATAGGGGTGTTTGTCCTCATAACCTGTTTGCAAGATAACATATTGAAACTGCAAGGAAAAGTTACACATCAATCACTTACCTCACTATCTATACCAGCCATTATCTTTTGAGTTTGAGGAACTTCATGCTGTAACGGTCTCCGTAGTACAAACACAGGTACCCCACAAAAAATATCTCTAAAAGTAAAAACTGACTCTGAATGTAATGTTTACAATAACTTTCACTATTCACAGTGAAGACAAGGCAAGGATAAAACTTCCAAGGGACATGGAAGATGCAAAAGGATTAGGAAGAGCATTGTCCAATTACACAGATGAATATTTCACTCAAGTTCTTCTAGGCTTTGTTGTAATTTATATTTTGTATCCTTTTCATGAAGTTTTTGTTTTGTTTTTTTGAATTTTTTTCCATAGTAAATTTATGCACTGTAGAGAATTAGAATTTTATTTTGGATTGATCTAGAGTTTCCCATGTTTCAGCTTTTTATAAATACTTGTTAACCCTCTGGGAGACTTGTATCTAATTGCTCCTCACAATATCATCCCCCAATCAAACATTTAGATCACAAGAATAAAGGAAATGATCGTCTACTTATGGAGCTCTTGATTGTTAAACAAATTCTCCTTGTGAGCACCTTAGGGAATGTGCAGAGCACAGTATGGAGAATATGCATACTGATACTAGTGTATATTAAGGGTTAGTTAGCTGAGGTTTTACATAGTCATGAGGTGCAAGATTTAAGATTTCATTATGAGTTTCTTGTTTCCCTTATCTCATGGTGTTGTGACGATTAATGCTGCAGTGTTTTCTTTAACCTTTCACACAGCTTGCAAACATTTGCTATACCAGGATCAATATTTCTCAGTATTTTATCAGGATTTTTATTCCCTTTTCCTTTAGCTCTATTTTTTGTTTGTCTGGTAAGTTAATTTGGATTTTAAGGTTTAATTGATCCTAATTTTTGAAACACTCAGAAATCTACAAAGTGTATCCAAGGTCTTCTTTATCATATTTGTTTTATTTTTTCTTACTCAGAACGTGAATTGTTTCTGTTTTACAGTGTTCCAGTGTAGGTGCATCATTCTGTTATTTATTGTTTTACCTGGTTGGTCGAAGGCTGGTAAAACATTATATGCCAGAGAGAGTAGATCAGTGGTGTGAACAGGTACTTCCATTTACCTATTTTTAAGTATTTGATTGTACTATCCATTTCCTAATTTTCCTAATTTCCTTATTTTCTCATCCATGCTACATCTGTCTTTTTCTTCCTGGTTCTTTGGTTTGTTCCCTTCACTAATAAATACAAGCTCTGTCTCTCAACAATGTCAGATTTAGAAACTCTTTATGTTGGCCAATTTACGTTATCAACTCAGTTGATAAAACCAGACTATCTTGTAATATCCCCTAGGGATGTAGCACCACAGTTTCCTTAAAAACTTACTCCTTTAAATTTATTAACGACATAATGATTGACGGGGAACGAGTGGATAAAGAACATTTTATGGATGCACCACTGCTAAATTATACTCATATAATTATTTAGTTAATTATATTAATATAATTTCAGTTGTATATTATTGGAATTTATAACTTTTGCATTTTATATTTTGTCACAGGTTAACCATCATCGAGACAACCTCCTAAGCTACATTATATTCTTGCGCATCACTCCTTTTCTTCCCAATTGGTTCATCAACATTTCTTCTCCAGTGATAGGTGTCCCCCTTTTGCCATTTTTTGTCGGCACTTTTGTAGGTAAGTCATTTTAAAAAATTGATAATGTCACCTCGATAATGGCCAAGACATGTTTCATGAACTTGCAATTCTTGTAAAAGTTTTGTAGCAGTTTCTTAGTGTTACAGAAATCAGTTATGTATTGGCTATCATGAAGAGTTGCAGACATTTTCAGTCTATTTTATGTTAAGTTACTTTAGTGGTGATTGTGCCTATTTCAAAAGTTACTGCCATACTTGAATTCAACTCACATTCCCCTTTCCAAAAACAAAAAACAAAATACACTTATTTGGGCCCATTTATTAGTTATATTTTGTTTGTGCATAGGTGGCATAGTGTAGATTAATTTTTGCTTTGAATATCATTTTTTAGGTGTTGCTCCACCATCTTTTGGTTTTATCAGTGCAGGAGTTGAACTGTATGTTTTAACAACCACAGGGGATGTAATGTCATTCAAGTCCATCATGATTGTGGTTGTGTCTGCTCTTCTGTCATTAGCTCCAGTGATATTCAAAAGACAACTTAGGGCAAAGATAGAATAAAATAAATAATTTTTGTAATAGCTTATTTTAATTGATTTTGCTCAATAATTAGTTAAATGTGTATGGGAGAGAAAGCATGTATTCATTGAGATGAGAAAAAATTTTCTCATACAATTTTTGTAAATAGTAGTAATGTAGGGGTTTCATTGAAAGTTGGTTACTGGCGGTCCACAGCCACCTTTTAACCCTTTAACTCTAGTGAGTGACCAAGACAGAATTTCTCCTTACTCTATCTATACAATATCATGCAGGCAAGTGATGAGGATAAAGAAAAATATCCGTTATGGGATTACTAATTGATCTGATAGCAAATTCTCCAAACTAACATAAAGAGAATCATTTGGCAGATAGTAAGGAGAATTACCAGTGAGATCTTGGGAGTTAAGGGGTTAAGACGTCTTGCCACTGTCTGTTTAGCCTGCAGGCAGGTTCACTTGCTAAGGTTTTGCCTTATAGTCACTTTTCTGGGCACAACTGCCTATTACACCTGAGGCAGCCACTTAAGGAAAAAGTTACTGGTGGTAGCAATGAGTCATATTTAGCAAGACCATACTCGTTCCTTGGCCATTTCAGTATAGCCAAACTATTTGATGTCATGTGATCTAAGTAAAAAATTCAGAGCAAGACTTTGACTTAGGGTGCTATAACAAAAGACCATTTTGGAGTTCAGAAGCCTCACTTTTCTAGGGAGAAGTGTAAAGACTTTCTGGTGAAAGTAAATCTGAGTACAAAATATAAATCCACATCAAAATAAAACGTTTTTGTCCTCACTCTCATTTTGAGCAAAGCGTTTGTGCATCTCACAATGGTTATTACTATTGACTCTAATGGTCTGGTTGTAAGCTATTCAAAACTCCAGTATGTATGGTAAAGATACTGAAAAATCTAAATGTTCTGGGGTTTGGAGAATGTTGTTGTAGTTGCTGTTGATTTTTCTTTTTTTGACCAAAAAATGCCTCTAGGGTTCTAGAAGAAATTCTGAGTAATTTAGGCTTTTTGTTTGCTTTTGGTAAAGATGCTGTTTGTTTGCCAAGATTATGATTATTTAATATGCATTTAAGTTTTCAGGATTTTATCAGCTGCTTGTAATATCTGTACAAGAGGGACCTAATTTATTGCTAAAAAATTCTATTATTATGGAACAATAAATTTTGAATTGAAAATACTGCCACTGTTATCATACTGTGGTGTTCTTATCATTTGACTTCTTGAATGTGATGTTTCAGAGGAATAGAGTTATTGAGACCTGTGATCATAGTAGTCATGAGAATAAATTCCTTTCTCATTTTATTTATTTACTGGATAATCTCAAGCTCAAATGTACTTTAAAGTCTAATGCTGTTATGAACATCAATGTTAAGGTTATTAAACATGTTTATTATCATCTGAATATAATACAATGTTTGGTTAGATATTATTTATTAATGATGGGATTTTTTTCCTTTTTCCCACACTTCCTGTTTTGTTATTTAGACAGCTGTACTGTCATACAATCATTCTGTTTTATTACCCTTTGACCCCAAAGAGTGACCAGCGACTAATTTCTCCTTACATTATAACCCCTGAATCAGCACGAACCAAAGAAGCTCTTGATTGTTAAAAAAATTATCTTTATTAGTACCTTAGAAAACATGTAAAGAAAAGTCAGGAGAATATGTGTATTGATGTTAGAGTGTAAAGGGTTAAAATACCAAGTAATAATGTCATGGTTTTGGAAAATGTTTTATAATTAAATTGCTTCAATCACGGAAAAAGGAGACTCTTCTCGAGTTATTTCTTGACCCTCAGGTTTGACATAAAGCGTACAACAAACGATTTACGGAAGGGCGACGTGTTGAAAAAATCTTAGCTGTTTTGTCGCGACTCTCCTGACTCTCCTCTCTTTACTCTTACCTTTGACCTTGTGGAGTCTGGGCTCTAACGAAGACTCGATTGAAATATGGCGACTGCGATTTGAAATCACAAAATATTTTTTTTAACTTCAAAAAAAGGTACCGAGATAAAATTGAAAATATTGTAAGAAGGTTTTATGTTAAAATTCAAGCGTCTAATTTTAGCGGCCATAAAGTTCCAGGAGCAGAGGACCACTCTTGTATCTTCAGTACATATTATTCGACGGACTTGCTCTTCCGTAGTGTCTTCTGACGAATTTTTGGATAAAATGTCTGGAAAATCCATGCCAAAATGGATACAGCCCGAAGGGAATGGGGAACTTAAACTTTACAACAGTCTCACTCGTGAGAAGGTGAGAATTTTCCTTTCGTAGTATTTTTGTTGTTAATTTTTCGGTATATGAACAATCCATGTTTAATCATCGAAATCTGATGCAATTATTTCTGTGATGGAATCAGCCAATCGCAATTAGATACGTCTTTTACAAATTATGTCCTTGTCAAAGAGAGTCACTCTTACTAGTCCTAGATATTTTGTGTCCTCTTTTATTTCAAATCTTTTATTTACAGGTAGCTTTACAATATATTAATTCTTTAGATGAACGAAATTTATCCTTAGTTCGTTCCCGGAAGAATTGATATTTCATTTTTCTTTAAAAAAAGTAATACTAAACAACTTTGGGCACAGAAGAAAAATTAATTTCAAGTTAAAACTTGCTGAAAGCAAAAAGTAACCATTTTTCAACTGATGACTCAGTTTATTTTATGCCCATCCCAAGTGTTAACAGACATACCTACTCAGTAGAGAATTCTGAGTTCTTTCCAGCCTTAACCCTTAATAATCTAAAATCAGTATGCATATTTCCCATACTGTTCTCTAAACATCTCCTAGGATGCTGACATGGAGAATCTGTTCCACAATCAAGAGCTTCTTTAGTTGGTGATCAGCTCCTTTATTCTCCTGACATTAATGTTTGATTCAGGGGTGATATGGTGCGGAGAATTTAGATGCCTATTAATCTTTGGGGTTAAAGGGTTAAGGTGAAGTGATGGGAATTTAGTAAACGAGCTTGCAGCATGATGTGGATGAGTGGTCAAGATGTAAGGCTCACAATCTAGGGGTTTAGGGCTAATGGCCATGCAGGGCCAGGTTGTTCCAAAGCAGTTAAACATCCATACTGGGATAAATGCATACAAAACTTATATTTTACCATGGCAATGAAACCAGGATTAGAGCTAATCATGCTTTGCATACTAGCCCAGGTGGATTTGTCTCAGAGCAGTCCTGAGTTCAAATCCTAGCCTAGGATTGAAAATAAATAAAGGGGGTAAGTTTCTAAAGAAACTGTGGTTCTGCGTTGGTAGGAGAGTATAACAGGGTAATTTAGTATTATTAACTGAGTTGGGAATATGGTGACAAGAAAACAAGAATAAATTTAATTAGTTAATTCTTGTTTTCTCATCGCCATATTCCCACCAATAGCATAGCTCCATTTTCTAAATATAAACCCACACACAACCCACGATTCCTCTGATTGCTCTTACGAAGGGCTAATGCTCTAAATACCAGCCTTTAAACTCTTTACGGTGGCCAATTTATGTTTTCAGCTCAGTTGATAAAATTAAATTACCCTAGGATTGAAAATAGCCTACTGATTTGCCTCCTCCCTGTTGGGTTTGTAATTATACTGTGATTGATTTGGATTATGATATTAGGTTTATCATTGCTTTTACTACTGTTTACTTTTTCCCTCTATAAATAGAACCTATTACTGGTAAGTGACTGTATATTTTCATTTATTGATTTATTTATTTCTGCCTGCTAGAATGTGTTTGTACCACAGAAAGGCAGAAGAGTGTTTTGGTACAGTTGTGGGCCTACAGTGTACGATGCATCTCACATGGGACATGCAAGGTACAAGCTTAAATATATTCATGGTCTTAAACAAAATATTATTGAATTTCTATGTTGAGCTGAGAAAATTCTTTTGTGAAAAATAATATCTTTGAGGTTTAATTGTAAATCCAGATTTTCATTGTACACTGGGCTGGACATAGAAAGGATATTTTATGGTCTACTTCTTGTAGTACATTATTTCTGGTTTCCTTTAATGGATAATGAAAGTTTTGTTTATTAAAATATATCACTGAAATATTAATGGTAGGGAAATGTATAACAGATTTCTAGCACAGTGATCAGCTGCACATAAACTCAACTCAGGGAAATAACCTTTAACTCTTTAACTCCCTATGTCTGATTGTTTATTCTCCCTTCTAGCTTATACACATTTCCTGGTAAATAAGTAACAAGAATTTGGCATTAAATCAACAACTTCTACCTGATAAGTTTGAGTATTCCCATTACCTGTTTGCTGGATAATGTGTGGATATTTTAGGGAGAGATTACTGGTTAATCACTTCTGGGAGTTAAAGGGTTAACCATTAAAAAATGAAGGAATTACTGTCAGACTCTGAAAACCATTGAACTATGGACTGTCTGGAATTTTCATAATGGAAGATTAATTCACATGGGACATCTATCTGAGCTAACTACAAACCACAAATTAATAACATTTCTGCACCTGATTGACTTGCTTTGTTTACCACAGTCATATATTTGAAATATTTCCAGTGTTCATGGTTCTCTGAATCTTAAATACATTTTTTATAGATTTTCTGGCTATATTAATTTGATTTTCTCTTCCACATTTCAGGTCTTACATCACTTTTGACATTTTACGAAGAGTACTTCAATCTTACTTTAACTACGATGTGTTTTATGTGATGAATATAACAGACATTGATGACAAGGTACCTGGTTTTCTAAATTTTTTAAAGTAGCTGATTTATCAATTTGCTGCAAAATTTTTTCTTGAATGAAAGTGATCCTCACAGTAATGTGCACTACTTAGGCAGTAAAAAAAATTTTTCTCTTGCCTTTTGAATAGTTGTAGGGGTCCTTAAAAATATTCTACTAGATTGTTCACACAGCTGCATAATTTGCAAATGTTCCTCTGTATGGATTTGGTGAATGACTTGATTAAATAATCTTAAACTGGAAAGAAAATTCTTTTCTTCAGCAGTGAACCCCTCTTTTTCCCAACCAATGATATTGATTTTTGATAGTTTGTATAATTATGTTATTGTAGTTTAAGTTATTTGTGGTTAAAATGAATTCATACTAATATTATCTGAGTGAGGTTTTTTTGTTTATGGATTAATCTAATTGAGAAACAATAATACAAATTAAACTAGTTGGAAACCAATTGTAACCTTACAGATTATCTTCAGAGCAAGGCGAAACCACCTTTTAGAGAAGTACATCGAGGGGGCAAACCCTCCAGACAAAATATTAGATGATGTGAACTCTGCATTGGGGGTATGTTTGGTAGCTTAGAGTTAACTAGGGAATAGCTGTGAAACTGAAATTTAAGCCCTAAGAAATCTTATGCTTGTATAATTTTCCTTAATTTTCTCATCATGTTTGTACAAATTTAAAGGTCAATATCTGTAGCACTATACTCAGTACCACTGCCATTATTTTATTACAGTAACCATTTCTGTTGCTATGCTCTAAAAATCACTCCCTGCACAATGCACCACAAAAAAATTGCCAAAATTCCAAAGCCTAAAATCCTGAATGTTTTTATTTCTAAAATAATAATCCCAGTTTTGAAAATATTTGCATGTATTTGTGTTATAATGATTATTTTAACCCCTCACTTTTAGGATTGGTACAGGATCTTGTTTCAGTTTGTTTTCCTTTTTCTTACAGTTTATTACAAAGTTCTGCATAATTTGATTGTTTTAGTGTAACTTAATGCTTGTTGGTACTTACGTGTAACTTAAATAAGTTTTCCTTTACTTCCAGCCATATTCTGCCAAAATGGACAGTACCACAGATGCAGACAAGAAAAATATGTATTTTAAAATTATTGTAAGTTGTGTCATTTATTTTATAGAATTTGATGTACAGATTTTTGCTAATGTTAATTCTTTTGAAATGCTTCTGAATCAGAAGAGGAAATTATAATTTTTTTAGGCCTGAGTGTTTTTTTTTCTTCAAGGAAAAAGTGAAATTGTGTCATTCAAGATTAAAAGAACTACTAACAACAAACAGCAGCTCTGATGAAGTTGTCAGATCAGCAACTCAGGTGAATTTGTGATAACTTTATTTTTTTGAGGGTGGTCCAGCATAGGTTACCCCCCCCCCCCTCCCCCACAGTATTTTGTCAGGCTTCAGATCACTGGCATCTAGTTATATACTCGTGGGTGGACATTGGTACGGTGGGAGTGAAATGTCTTGCCCAAGAAATCAAAAGAATGATCTGGCCAGGTCTCAAATGTGGACCTCTTGACTTGGAGTCCATCATGCTGACAGATAGTTCTCCTGGTCTCTTTTTTTCAAAACTGTTAGCATAAATGGATCAAAACCAGGGATCAATAATCATGTGTACAATGTGATCATCTGAAGAAAAGTAGTTCTGATAGGGATTGATATCAGTAAGAGTGACTAGGGTTTCAACAACCCTCTAGAGTGGAAGTAAAAGATTCCTAAGTAGTTCCCTATTACCAACTTCTCTTTGCAAACATACAATTTAACAGAACACTTAATGATTACCTTTTCTGTACTTGACCCAGGGCTTAGCATAGAATTAAATAACAACAGCATGGGTTATACACAGGCTGTCCAACAGGCTGCCCAGTAAGA